TTTGCAGGTGAGACAGCAAGGATTATAGAGTTAGGGTTCCTGATATATTGTAAAATAAGAAGCCTAATCTGTTGCTCTATGTCATGAGGTTGATCGCCAACTGGTACCTGAAGAAATCATTCATAATTATAAGAAATCATAAGAAACCATTCATAATTTTCTGCTACTGTTATCAGCATGTCATGGTGGTACGAACCTTAGTAACCCCTGGTAAATCAACCAACGTCAGGTTTACAACTTTAGGGGAATAGATCTTCAAATTGATAGGTTCATTAGAAATGCCCTGGAAGCAGAAAATAATATAAAACAGGTTGCTATTTAAGACAACAGAAAAGAAGGAAAAATGACTACATTTAGCTATTTTATAATTTATATAGAAAGAAGACAGAAACTACCTTGTTGCTTCCTGTTACTCGTTCAGTTTCCCTCTCAATTTCATCTCGTATATCGTCAAAATCTATAAATTTCTAAAACAAAGAAAAGAAAATATGGCCATTAATGCACTTCAATTACAAGCTATAGAAATTGCTGATTGACAACTAACTTTTTCTTTCAAATGCAAGAACTTTCCCCACTCYTCTGGTTCATCATTATCATCCTCGTCATCTTCTTCGTCAACTTCATCCTCTCCTGCTTCATCGCCACTATAATCTGAATAATAATGATTTAAAAAACAGCCATTAAAGATATTGTTATAGTAATAAAAGCTATGTCTAGATATTAAAAGTGATGCAGACATTAAAAGTGGTAATAGCCATTCTGGAGTTATGAAATGAATTGTAATTTCTGTCATATTGAGCCAATCGAACTAACCATATCACTAAAAAGACTTTAGTGTAGGTTCCAAGTTATAGATCATTTGGACAAATATTCAATTAATGAGAAGCCGTGCAATTTACAGAGAATGTATGTGGATTTTGACCGCGTCCCCCAAAACAATACATTCTCTGTTAATTTGATGAAACTAGGAATAAATACTGTTCAGCTAGTTTTTATCCGGGAAACGTTTCAAAACTTGGTATATTTACTAATTTTTGGGTGTCCTTTCATGGGGTGCCCGGTTTGTTTCGTGATTAGATCAATATTTCTTTGATTAGTGCCCAGTCCCCTGGCAACTCCGGAATGATTAATAGACATTATAGTAGACATTATAGTATATTCTTAGAATTTTTGGAAATGATGCAGTGTTTCAAGGATAAGCAATGACTGGACAGGACTTCAAAATTACTAGAACTACACTGTCTTACACTACACA